CCACCCTCCTGCCGGGGCCTTCCTGCTGGCCAGTCGCCCGTGGAGGGATAGCCTCTTCCCGTCTCGCCGGCGCCCGCAGGCTGTACAGATGTTACAGCGATGGTGTTCTTGCCCCATCGTCGGGGCAAGCTCGGTTGTCTGTCACCTTGTGCCAGGTGAAGCCCATAGAGGAACCCTGGGGACTTCCAGCGGGGCTTCAGTCCCCACGCCCAGTCACGCCCGTCCCGCCGGGCTCCAGGGTTTGGGGACAGTGTAGTGTGTCGTCAACTGTATTTTCCATCCCCCCCCACCCCTGCCACAAATTCCCCAGCCCTGCAGGCTCCCTAAAATGACTGCCTGGTGTCCAAATGCCATCACCTGGGGACTTCCCTTCCCACTGGCAAATTGTGGCCGAGTGTGGGTTCTTTTCTGGTTCTGTAGTGACAAGCCTGGGGTTTCCGGCTCTCTGGGGACAGGGCAGTGTGCCCATGCAGTCTAAAGAGTGGATCTGGTTTTTCCCAGGAAGCCCAGAGAAGTGCCCGGAGATCTTTTTGCCACCTCTGGGCCGAGTCCATCCTGTTGCCTCAGGCTCCTGGGCTGACACTTCACCTGCTCTGTGAGGCCTGGGCAGCTGGACGTCCTAGGCCCAGCTGGGGAGCACGGGCCCGGCTTGCCCACACCTCTTGTGTTTTGCCGTTTCCCCCTTTTATGTTGAATTACTGTGTATAGAACGGACACCCACCGTACAATCAGGTATTATGTAGAAAGAAGGAAGAGGGTAAGGGAGTCTCCGGCCTTGACTCAGCAGAAGAAATTGAACAGTACCGACTCCATCCTAGGCCTCAGGGTGCCCCCTTCCTGACCACATCCCCTCCTCCCTCCCACCAAGGTAGCCAGCCACACACTGTTCAGAAGGGTGTGTTTCAGCAGTGCCCTGGAGCTCTCCTTGAAGTACAAATGTACCACCTATGGACACCCAAATGCAACACATTTCCCCCTGGGATGGGTTTGCATTTTTACCGGGTGCCTCCTACTGCCCTTTGGGCTCCATGTTTCACACTCACGAGCTTTCGGGATGTTTGGTTTGGTTTGGTTCTCACGCAGCATTAAGTTTGGGACTCATGGATAAGCGTATGGGTAGCTCCCTGCAGATGTCCTCTCTGCTGTTTAGCATTCCGTCCCCTGGTCCTCTCTGTGAACCTTCCAGTAGGGTTCTGGTTGGCAAAGATGACCCCCTGCGATGCCATCTGTATTCATCCTGTTGCCAGGACTTCTGGCCCTCTGTGTAATTCTTTAGGGGATATTTAATAGTTCTGAGGGTACACTGAATCGGTTTAAGGACCAGTCCCTGGAAAAGGCCATCATGCTTGGTAAAGTAGAGGGTCAGCCGGAAAGAGGAAGACCCTTGATGAGGAGATGGGCTGGTACAGTGGCTGCAGCCGTGAGCTCACACGGAGCAAGGATTGTGTGGATGGCACAGGACCGGTTCACTTCTGTCATATGTAACCTTGCTGAGCATCAGAACCGACTCCGTGGCCCCTGATAACAATAACAACACAGATGTGTGTAGCATTCCCTAGTGACAGTTCAGATGTGTCTGTACCTTGTGTGGAGTTGCTGTGCCCAGGGTCTACCGGCGTCTGGAAATTCACTAGGTAAATCTCTACTCCTCTCTCTGTGCTCTTCCTACCACGTGTTTCAGCGTTCATACTTTACTGAAGTGGTTTCCTCCTTCCTCGGTCCTTCTTAGGGGGAATGAGGAGCCGCATGGGTTTAGATGGCTTTGACCAGAGCCCTAACCCCACATTCACGTGGGGGCTGAGTGGGTGCTGGGCCGCCTCCCCACTCCACTCAGGCCCCTTTCTACACAGGCCTGTCTCCAGCCAGTGTTTTCTAATCGATCTCGTTCAAGCATAAAACTGCTGGGTCCTTCCTCCCTGGGTCTCAAGCCTGCCTGCCCTCCCGTCACCTCTGTCCCTTCTCTCACTGCTTGTCGCCTGCTCTCTGGACAGCTGCCACCTGAAGCTTGGTGGATGGGAAAGGCAGGAGCTCAGTGGCCAGCAGCGGCTGTGTGCAACAGAGGGGGGATTTAAGTGCAACCCCCTTGCTCGCTGCTGATCTGTCATTTGCTCCTAGACCTTCTTGGTCACTGGAGAGTCCTCGTGATAAACAAGTAGCCCAAAAAACCGCCAGCCATCTGGGCCCAAGGGATCATTGTTATGCCAGCTCGGCATGAGAGACTGAGACTAGCCTGTTGCGTCCACGAGCAGGGCACGTGCCGTTATGTCCTGTCTACTGACCGACCCTTTAGACTGTCAGCTGTCTCGCTCACACTTCGTTTCCAGCTGGCACCCTCCTTGAGGGACCCTTGTGCCCCTTGGAACCTGCTGCACTTTCAGCTGGATGGAAAATAGGACCCTGCCAGGGCATAAGTGGCCTGCTCTTGGCCACTCCTGTGAGGGCGGCTGGCCGTGTGGTTAACTGGAGGTCTCCTCGGCCCGGGTGGTGGGTGTTTTGACAATGTGCACACTCGGCATGTAGCACAGGCTAAACACCCCTGGCTCACGCAGCCCAACGCGACGCAAACCTATGAGACCTGTAGGTGCTCTGAAGACACGGAAGCAAGGCAGGGGATCGAAAGTTAGGTGCGCATCAGAACGTGGTGGGGTCTGGCCTTGTGACGATGTGAACGTCGTTTACCGGGTACAGGAAAAAAAAGAGTAGATTGAAGAGAGGAATGTGGGGGGTCGGTTCTCGCCTCCGGACCCCAAACAAATCTAGTGCCATTTGCCATTTTCTCTCTTTCTGCCTATCCAGTTGTCACCATGTATCAGGTAGTTTGACAGGCATATCTTTGGAAGGAGCGGACTTGTAACAACAGACACTTGTCGTCCCATTGTCTTTAAACAGATAGTCATCTGTAGTCATTAAGCAAGCATGGCCTCCGTAGACATGACATTTTCTCACAGAACCTTTAGAACACAATTAACCTGTTTTTCGACCTGGACTTGTGGAGGACTTAAAAAACAGTATGTCCCCTCCTCATCTTGTCCCTTGTACAACGGGTTTTCAGCTCATGGGGACCCCCAGCTGTGCAGCGGAGAACTGCATTAGAATTCGCTTGACAACAACAACAAAACTCAACAGCCTTTTCTTTTCGGATCGGTTTCAATA